TAGAATTTTTCAAATCCGATGATGTCAGAGTTCTCATATAAGAAGGTTAAAAAAAATACAACTGAATGGAGAACACACTCATTTTATGAAGTCAATTTCACCAACAAAAAATTAAATAAACTTTGCCTTTATACCTTTTTTACAGAACATGTGTGACGTATAATGACATACCTATAAGTGATACTTTAGTATTAAATAAAAATAACTTTACACATATCATACACAGCAGTCTAATACCAAACTAGGCAGAGCCTGAACAATGGAAACCAGACTTCAGATAATGATACTGACTGATAGTTTGATAGTACTTAGGAGATATGTGATTGGGCCTTAGGAACAAAGTCAATCTATAATGAACATATGTTTATTAAAAATTGACTTTATAAATGGATGGCAATACACACTGCGTTAATTACTATCTCATATTACAAGGATGAATTGTATCGACCTTTTATCAGTGCAACTTACAATGGAACTATAGATAAGAACACTATCTCTAAGTATAAAATTTCTACTTTATTACTCATACTATGTTAGAATATGGTAATAGGTCTGATCCGACACCGATTGAATATCTATCCTATGAAGAGAAGCAAAGTATTTAGTTTTGATATTAAACAACACAAAAAAGACTTTTTGTTGAGATAATCTGTTAGTGTCTAAAAAAAGGTTAAACTGCCTTCTGCTTAGTGTTTTTTACGCTCAGGAGAACAATTTCGTTTAAAGGGCTCTGATGGGTCAGAAGGCTCGAATTTTCAAACAGTAGGCTGCTCGAACAATTTACTGAATTCCGCTTCCATCCGTATAAGCAATATAAGGCTAAGGAGATAAGGCAAAGGGCCTTACCTCCTTAGCCACCTTAATTTCAATATACTACTAGTTTTACTATCTAATCTATAAGTCCTGGGCTGAATAGTGTTGTACCCTCTATTACGAAAGTGGTACAAAATTAATAGTTGGCAAAACCCAGACGTTTAATACGTCTCTGCGTAAGTTTATATCCTAAGTCTCCGAAATGGGACAGAGGGCGTCCACAGTAGTCCTCCATCGCATTCGGTCTTGAGCTTCGTACTTGACCTCACTCCATGTCTCGCCTTCACCTATTCCCTTCACCTCGTCTGCGCCAGTGGGACGCCTAGTTTGTTTTGGGCGGCCACGCTTACTTTTACCATGCGGGTTTAAAATACAGTGCCTGTTTGGATTACATTCATTTATTTTTGTTAATTTCAGATATTACTTTAAAAGAAATGTAAATAATCTGTCTCACAATTATTATTATCACCAAATTATCTCGGTTTTTTGTAGTTCAACGACTCGTAACATAAGTTACTTCTCTAAATCCACAACTTACTGTTTCCCTGAGGCCCAATCACATGTCTCCTAAGTACTATCAAATCAGACAATCAGACTTGACGACCACTTATTATAGTTATGGAAGAAAATGTCTTCAACCTACTAACTTCTGACACGTTGTGTAATATCATGCATTATGGTAATTAAGTGTTGTAACACGATGTACAACTATACTACGCATCATATTTCACATTCTATAAATAACTGTTCCCACAGTTTACTATGTATTAGTTAAATGACAGTGTAATAAACTTAACTTGACCTTCTTCAACAGTTTTTCAAAACGAGTCATTAGCCAGGATGGGAAGGCCCCTTAAACATAACATCTCCTTCTTTCTCTCTCATTGTCAGCAGAGGTTCCAGTAGCTTAACTTTGCTATTACCTTCAAAATATTTTAAACATTGGCAAAATTAAAAAATATCATCAATAATATAAAAAAATACTTTAAATATCCATTTCTATAACATATTGTAATGCAGTACTAAATGTACGTGGTAAATAATTTGCATATACAAATTTCTACTTGTGAGTAATGACGAAAACCTTAAAATAGGTATTTATGGATAGGCACCGATAGTAACATCTAATAATAATCTCAGTGACTATCTTTTCTTGTATATTTATATATTATATATTTTATTATGCGAAGTCTCAAGACTTCGCATAATTAAAACATTATACTCATCAATATCGTAATAACGCAGCCTTTTTCCGCTAGCGCCGAGTAGGTTATAAAAGTATCAGCTAGATGTCCAAGTATAAATCAGTGTTACCAATTTATTATTATATAAACAAGTCTTTAAATATTTTGATTTAATATTATGTTTACTTAATTAATAGTGTTTATAATTTGCGATATGTAAATCTTGCCAAGCACAAATCGAGTTATTATAACACACTTGTTATACTCGTAGACATAAACATACTTCTGGGTATATTTACCTCAATGTCAAATGTTTTGTTTTATACCCACCATATTAATATCATTAACCAATAGATTCATTTAAGTAGTAAGCCCTATTTATTTTAATTATTCAGACAGACCTGAAATTTTGAGCTGTCAGCAAGAATAACACTACGTAACGATCTAATTAATTATTTTTCTACTCATCATCATCATCATCAACAGCCTTTAACAGTCCACTGCTGGACATAGGCCTCTCCACTATATTTTTAAATTACGATTGTGAAATGTCAGAATATACAGGCGTAATGAAAAACGCAGGTTATTATACATAAAGCTTCGGTATTAAAAAATAAACGAAAACTGGTTGTTTGTTTTTACTAAACCAAAAGTGGTTGTTTATTTTTAAAGGACAAAATGTCTATAATAAAACATTATTTTTAAAACATCGGGAAACGAACAAGTTTGATGAATAGCGAATAAAACAACCGAATATCAGTGAGAATTTTTGTTAATTAATAAATTTGTAGCGACTAATTTAAATAGTGTCTAGTTGTATGTAAGTATTTTGATCTAATCACTAACCGTTTTATAAATTATTTTACTGTTTAACGTACCCGAATGTACACATAAAGGTACAAATATTGGGATGGGTACTCTTAAGGCTATACACATCCTAGGATAACTGTTCAATGAGACTAATGCCACACACCTACTATCATACCTAACTCCTGTACACCAGAATCAACAGCAATGACCCACGAACACATCGAGTTATGACACTTGGAAGTTCAAGAAAAAGTTAAACTGCCTTGGAACCCGCAACAAAATTATTCAGAAATAAATTGGAGGATAATTGGATACATAAATTAATGTCCTTTTATGTCCTGTTAATTTATGTCCTGGAAACATAAATTAATGTTTAATTTTATTCATTAATTTATCACTCGAAACTTTATTTATATAATTTTATTCATTAATTTATAAATCACAATACACTTCCACGTAATACACTAACCATTTAAAAATACTAAGAATATATTCAAACTATTTAGTTACACTAAATGATCGATCACATTAAAACTATGTATTTTCACAACCCATCAGGTTTTTAACGCTAATCCGTTACAAATGACATTCAAATGTCACATTACATAGGTGATTGCCAACAGCATCGCTTTATTGATAGATTAATAACATAAATCGAAAACTTAACTTCATGAGTTAATTGCACAAAATGCTGCAACAATAATGAAATATGTAATAATCTAACATCATAAAGTTTAATTATCGACAGCCTTATCAACAGCCCACTACCCGACATAGGCATTTTCGCTTTTAATAAAACTATTTCAGTGAATCGTGAGGCCTATGTCCAGCAGTGGACTGCGATAGGCTGATGATGATGATGATAATGATGAAATCGTGAAGTTTATTTCAACTACCTACTTTTAATTGATGTATCGGGGTATGAAAAATCGTGCTTTGTATGGAGTTTGAAAACAATTTGAAAACATAGAGCAAGATAGTGGAGGCTACCTCCTCGATAGTGGAATTCTACGGTAAATCTCTCGAGCTTAAGCTCATAGGATTCGTTTCGTACAACGGTCTGATGATGAAGGCGGGCACTCTTCTGGAACTTTTTAATACAGTTTGCCATTAAAGCGTTTTCTTTTTTTAGTGTTTATACGCTAAAAAAATTGTTAAATAATTTTACAACAATCATAGCTACTGACATCTTCTAAATTATACTATACTCATTTTAAAAAGTTAAATTAGTACATCTAAGTACAAATATTGAAATGTCCGAGACATCCAAAAGTAGAAACCAGAATGACAATTATATTACTATAATTTTAAGTGCAAAACTTTACTAACGGTTTCCGTCCTGGTAAGCGGTATTCGTCTCACGTATTTCATGGAACTTAAATTTCGAAAAGCTCGTATTACGTAATACATAAGTATTCCCAAAACCAAAGGTTTTTAACATGAACGAGAGACGTCTTGAGGTCATGGCACTGCGTTGCGCAATCGTAAAATCCCGTAATGTGAATAGTTCCTCTGTACAAACTCTCTATGCCCTTTTTGTTTATTTTAAGTTTCAAAATACGTCACTTTGATGAGTAAAAAAATTATTAGAATTAGAACACTGCTACCTTTCAATGCGTCCGAATATTTTAAGGCATATTTCTGTTTCTTGAGCTAATGATCAGAGTTGCCAGAATTTGAGATATGTCTGAGAGATACCGGTGCTGTGACGACAATTTTTTATTAGAGTTTGATCAGGCTGTGTGCTGAATTGCTAATTTATTAAATTAGCAATAAAAAAATATATAATTTATAAATCCTCTACCTACCTATTTCGGTAAAATTTAAATGGGACCTGGGAAATATACCCTTTGAAACAAAAAAAGAAAGTTGAGGCGTCTTCGAGTAATCGGTGAACATACATTAAAAAAATAGATGCTGACGAATTGAGAACCTCCTCCTTTTTTGAAGTCGGTTAAAAAAGAACATTACTTACAGGGTCAACATAAACTCAAGGACTTTTGTTACAAATTACTCTAATTATGTATAATGTTTGACCACTTGTGCAGAAATTGAAAATATTTTTGAAATATTAGTTATTTTGAAAAGAAGTATTTTAAATAAAATTAATTGTCTCTTTTAATGTGTAATTAATCATTCAAACTCTAATTTAAAATTTACGACGACAAGCAACAAAAAACAATGCATACCAACCTTGTATATTGTATAGCATTTTCCATCTTTCGGCCAATACAACATCAGCCATCCTCTTGGCAATGCTGCACAAGGATTCCTCTTGACATCAGCCCAAGGTGGTGGTAGCACTGCGGCATGTGTACCACAGAGCAATGCCGCCATCCACAGCCACGCCGCCATTTTCGAACATTCAAAATTTAATTTAAAACAATTTTGTTCTTTTCATTTTCATAGACTTCACTTTATAGTTTTAATTTTTTAATGTAATCTAGTTTTCATTTTGAAGGCCAGGTCTTTTGTCACTAACAATTTTGTTTGTTTTTACACAGTCCACTTATGTTCCATTATTTAATCTTAAACAATAGGTAACTTTTCTGTTGCCAGAAACACTTATATTTTTATTCTGAGTTTTTCATTCTTATTAAAACATACCTGTCTCACTTGATGAACGTGTTTCCTTGAAATTTTAACGAATGAATTTTTAATTTAGATTCTTAAGAAATCACTGAGCTTTTTACTTATCTTTTCCTTATGGATGGTTACTACAAAAACATATTGCATTGTAATTAGTTCTCGTTACATCATAAAATATTCTAGTTCTATAGGGGTAAACCGAGAAGCAAACAGCAACTGTGATAGTAATGTATGCGTAATAATAAAAACAAGAGTTAAATATAATAAAACTTGTAAGCTTTTTGAGTAAAACATGTGTTAATTTTAATAAATTACTTTTTTTTATTTGTATTGTACTCATGATTTATTTTAAAAACAATTTATATATTAAACTAACTTTTGCCAAATACTTCTCTAGTGGGCATGAATATTTTATCAATGCATTCAGGTATCCCCGTGAGTAGCAATGTTTATCTGGATGAAAAGTACCCTGTTTTTTTTTAAATCATGATTATTAGTAGATCAATTAAGACGTGACACAAACAAACTCATGCATTTATAGTATTGTATGATATCAGAACATCATGCAAAGTTCAAGACATTTTTCAACAAACAATAAAATATTTCTGTTTCGTAATTGTCTCATAACTTTGATGTGGCGCAATTTTTCTGCTACATGTAACAGTGCGAGATTTTCTGTATCGATAAATTATATTTTATTTAAGTTTAAAATTCCGCCGTTCAATAATGCTCACTCGTGCGTTGTATTTATCCGAAGTCGTTATTTATCGCGATATTTCCGGACCGCTCTCATGATTTTAGCCGCAGTTATTACACAGTAATGACAATCATCTAAGATCAGTCAAATCACGAGTGTGCACAAAAAATCTCTAGCGTTTTTCATTACCTAAATGCACAAGTATCTGTAAATGAGTGTTAAGGTATCTTTTAAATTATAATAACTTGATACATCACACACGGCCGTCTAAACGGATTTTTAGTGTTTTATCTATGGTCAAAATGATGCAAAGCCAGTTTATGTGCCATATGTAGTAGACGAACTGCCAATAAATTATAAATATTCAGGCCTATCACATAATTATTTATCCTAGGTGAAAATTCAACTCACAGCCTCTGCCTTACCGTTACATCACTATCCGTCACCATCAATAACAGTAAAATAATAGAGATGTATTCTGTTTGATAAAATAAATGTGTGATTTTCAGTGTCTTGGTGTAATTTATATGTATGTAACCATGTATTTATTAGAATAATAAATATGTTTATCAGCAGTATATCGGCAGCTATAGAATAAGTCCTGCGTAGTTTAGGAGAAGACGGCTTTGTATAAAGTTTTTCAAGTCGTCATTATAACTACTGTTATCATTTCTTGAAGAAGAACAAATTAGATAGGCTACCTGCCTACCTTGCTAATATCTATTACAACTGTCCCATATAATAATATGTATATGTATGTATTGTATTAAAAAGATCTGTTTTATTTTTTGAACATAACCATAGAATGGAAATAGTAAAAATATTACAAATCAGTGAGTAGATTATTCACATTTACATAAATAAACCGTGAAGCGGCCTCAGACCTGGCTGTGAATAATATTAAAATGGGATCCTTATACATAATGTCGGAATCTGGATTAGGGTCGTTGCCCACCGGTGAGGCGGAGTTGTGGTGATATTCTAATATGATTTATCCTATATTAAGATGGATCAATGGCATTATTATACGGTAACTTAGTTTGTGTCTGTTGAAGTCATAAAATTATGTACGATGTTGCCTACTCAACCATATTTATCATTGCATCGTGCAATCTGTACATATACTTAAAGATATACATATTTATATGTACCTATTTTACTTTTATCAATTAATGTTTCCACCTTCACTGAGATTTGAAGTACAGCTGTATCGTCGGTCTATATAAAAATGTATAAGATACGAAGATAAAGTTAATATCTACTGATTTTTTTTTATAATTTGTAGAAACCACGCAACAAAAAGCAACGCCCCGCTTTATTCAGTTTTTAAACCATTTTTATTAAAACATATATTAATAATACTTAATTTACTTTATAATTAAAAATGTTGAAAAGGGCTTTTACTCTTCAATCATTCATTTTGTGATTCTTTAAAACTACTACTACTCAAATTATACTTAGCTAAGTATAATTTAAGTACCTAGTAACGAGGTTTGCGAGTAGAAGGCACATGCTGCATATATATGTATATATATATATATATATATATATATATATATATATATATATATACATAAATTTGTATATATATGCTACAAGGACGACGTGTGGCCGATTCCTAAGTGGATTAGTGGAGCCTGGTCGGCGAAAGTAGAGCCCATTGGCATCGCAAACTTCCTGTAGTTACATCGCCATAAATTGCTACGATTATCTTTTGATCCTGGCAGAAATCGGTATTATAGTTACGTATAAATAAAATATACTCTCCTCAAAATAGGTACCTAGAATATTACATAGGACACAAAGAACATTCAAACTCAGAACGACAATTTGATGATCACACAAAGTGTCGTTCCATGTGGGGATCAAACCCACAACACTCGGCGTAGTAAAAAACGGCGTGGCGACCGCATAATCCACTATGCCATCCGTACAGTCATATTGTTTTTAGTTATTACTATTTCAAATAAACTATTCTGCTAATCAAGGGTTAGAATACTAAAAACAGAATCCGAAAGATTCCTCTCCCACGATTACATATGTCTATCCTTCTATGGATCTAACCCTGTTTCTGTTGCTTCACTAATAAATATATGTCAGTAACTAGGCTCGCCAGAGCGCAATGCGATCAATCATCGAACAATAACATATTGGATTTCTTTTCGAGATATCATCATCGTATAGGCCTCTCCTTAGAAAGGAAGTTTTGGCCTACTATACCACTGGCCAGTGTGTTATAGTAGCCAACCCGTCTGGCCGGAAGACGGGTAGGTATAAGGTTTGTGTACAGAGACAGCTATGAATATAAAATCACAAAACAACACAACATCGCGACTACAACTACTAATATTGCGGTAATGAAATGATAAAAAACGATTTATTAGTTACCGGTGTTATCATAAAGTTATGCTGTACTCGGTCTAAGTCTGTTGTATGTAAAAGGTAATTTTTACCTTTCATTGAATTATTTTACCATTATAAAGCTAACGGGCGATGATTACGCGTAATGTTCTGACCATAACCGGGATCGAACTAACGGTCTTGTTACCGTTTGAGGTGTAGCTAAGCCGAAATGTCGAAACAACTACAATTATTGTGACCTACTTAACGTTGAGATTACGTGGTTGACGTCTGGTGTCATTGTAAGATAAAAGCGGGCACATCGACACTTCTCACGATTCTATTTCGAAATTTTTTCAACTTCTTAGTATTAAATATACAGTAAGGTGGAATTATTTTATTATATTTCAAACTGAAGATCGATTGAAAGAAATGAACAAATAAATTTCAGTAGTTAGTAAGTAGTATAAATAATAAGGAATACATTTATGAATGATCAAAAATGAATGATACGAAATTATTGCATTAAACTTAAAGCAAAAAGCACCAGCAAATACACAGTAGCTTACAAAAATGAACTATGTATCAACTCTGAACTGTGAGTTACCATTTAAACTATCTAGATTTGACATTGTTTTAACAATATTCTGTCTGTTACACCTTTTTTTATGGCATAAGAGGGCAAACGAGCAGACGTGTCACCTGATGGTAAGCAACTACCGCCGCCCATGGACACCTGCAACTCAAAAGTAACCAACAACAGTTCTACAAGTTTTTAACTTTACTAATTCCCTTCTGCACTTATTCTACTTAACCCGCTTCCTCTTATATCTCGTGGCAATTAGAACAGTGAGTAAGAACTGCACACAATGTCTCATTTAAAATCAAATAAACACAGAACATTTCTATTAGCATGAAATAAGTGACTTAGACATTGTGATCGTAACTGACAAACGGGTTTTCTAAATAACGTCAATCGGAACTAATAAATACTTTGCAAAATTCATCACACATCAACAGCCTTTAATAGTCCACTGCGGGACACAGACCACTCCTTAGAAAGGAGGATCCTTATTAGGATGATGATGGGATGTGAAACGGGAAGTATGCCCTCTCAAATGATATTTTTTTATTCAAATCAGATCATTAATGTCGGAGTTCTGAAGTGACAAAACTTAAAAAAAAACAGCCGAAATAAGAACCTTCTTCTTAATTTGAAGTCAGTTAAAAAAGAGAAACATCGCGACACAACATATTCAAACTCAAAAAGCATTGCTTAATATTGGTGAAATAAAAGGGTGAAAATAAACAATATTTATTACAAAACATAAATATCTTTTGAACCGGCTTTCATAATTATTTAGTGCCTGCCATTTTATATGCATCTTCTGGCATTCCTGACATCGCAATTCGCAGGTCATGTTTCTGCAATGGTATTATAATAATGAGACATATTGCAGAAATTTCAGACTTACGTAAATTCATTGTTCAAAGGTAATCTTTTCATTATACAATAACTTAAGAGATATCATCTCATAAATATTTTAAACTTTTTAGGTATATGTGTAAAGTATGAGCATCCAACACTCACAATTGTACTTAAACTGCCTGTAACAATTTCTTCATTTTTTTTTTAAACGAAGTTCCATATCGCGCGTAACACGCTCTGAGCAGATGGAAACGAGACTGAAGAATGTGTAACAAGATTTTTTTCCGACACTTCGTGCCA